ATGTCTTCCTTGGAGAAATGTCTGTTTAGTTCTTTGGCCCATTTTTTGATTGGGTCATTTATTTTTCTGGAGTTGAGCTGGAGGAGTTGCTTGTATATTTTTGAGATTAATCCTTTGTCTGTTGCTTCGTTTGCTATTATTTTCTCCCAATCTGAGGGCTGTCTTTTCACCTTGCTTATAGTTTCCTTTGTTGTGCAAAAGCTTTTAAGTTTCATTAGGTCCCATTTGTTTATTTTTGCTTTTATTTCCAATATTCTGGGAGGTGGGTCATAGAGGATCCTGCTGTGATTTATGTCGGAGAGTGTTTTGCCTATGTTCTCCTCTAGGAGTTAGGGTTAGTAATTTTAAAACATTTTTGGCAAAATTTATCTTTTTAAAAAATTTTATGGATTGTGCCTTCGGGGTAATATCTAATAACTCCTTGTTAACCCTAGGACACATATTTTCAAGCGTTTTTACTGTTTGATGCTTTATATTTAGATCTGTGATCTATTTTGAGTTAATTTTTATATAAAATATGAGATTTAAGTTGAAGTTTATAATTTCACATGTGGATGTTCAATATTTTCCAAAACAATTTATTAAGAAGACTCTCCTTTCTAATTGCCTTTGCATCTTTGTCAAACACAGTTGACTCTGTGTGTGTGTTCAGTCGCTTAGTTCTGTCTGACTCTTTGGAACTCCATGGACTATAGTACACCTGGTTCCTCTGTCCGTGGAATTTTCCAGGCAAGAATACTGGAGTGGGTTGTCATTTCCCCTTCCAGGGGATCTTTCCAATCCAGAGACCAAACTCATGTCTCCCGTGTCTCCTGCACTGTAGCTGGATTCTTTACCACTGAGCCGCCAGGGAAGCCCCAGTGTGTGGGTCTATTTGTAGATTCTCTTCTGTCCCTTTGGTTTATGTATCAATCCCCTTCAATATCACAAGGTTATAATCAGTGTAGCTTTACAGTGAGTCTTAAAATCAGATAGTATAACTACTCCAAATTTATTCTACCTTTTTAACAATTCTAGTTTATTTGCCTTTCTATACCAATTTTAGAAAAATTAAATATGTGCTACCTCTCCATTTTCTGTGTATGTTCTTTATAAGCTTAAGGAAACTCATTTCTATTCCTAGTTGGCTGAGAATTTCTATTGTAGATGATGCTACACTTTATCTTTTTTCATTGATTTAAGAATTTTTTTCTTCTTCTTCTTTAGATTTTAGTCTGGTAGATAACACTGATTGATTCCCAAATATTGAATCAGGTGCCCAATCCCTGGAAAATTCGATTTGATCATCGTGCATTATTTGTATATATTGCAAGATTTGACTTGTTAATATTTCATAGATTTTCGTGTTCATGGAGATGAAGGATTTGTATTGTACTTTTCTGTATTGTCTTTGTCTGGTTTGGGTATCAGAGTAATTGTTGTTGTTGTTCAGTCACTCAGTTGTGTCCGACTCTTTGTGACCCTCTGGACTGCATCATGCCAGGCTTCCCTGTTCTTCACTATCTCCTAGAGTTTGCTCAAACTCATGTAAATTGAGTTGATGATGCTATACAACCATCTCATCCTCTGTTGCCCCCTTCTCCTGCCCTCAATCTTTCCCAGCATAAGAGTCTTTTCCAAAGAGATGGCTGATCGAATCAGGTGGCCAAAATATTGGACCTTCGGCTTCAGCATCTGTCCTTCCAAAGGAAATTCAGAGTAATACCTGCCTCATAAAATAAGAAGTGTTTTCTCCTCTATTTTCTAGAAGAGATTATCTAGAATTGGTGTTATTTTTTCCTTATGTGTTTAATAGGACTCGCTAGTGTATCTGTCTGGACCTGTAGATTTATTTTTGGAAAGTTTTAAACTATAAATTTAATTTGCAAATGATAATGACACTATTTGAGCTATATATGTAATCTTTGATGAGTTTTAGTGCTGGTGGTTTCAGAATTGATGTTCATAGAATTGTTAATACAACCATTCATTATTATTTTAATATTTGTGAGCTTTGCAATTATATTCATTCTTGATTAGTAAATTATGTTTTTCCTCTTTTGATCTTGAAAGAAATATATCAACTTTATTGATCTTTAAAAAAACTCCAATTTTTTGTCTGATTTTTTTCTAGTTTTTCTGTTTAAAATTTCATTGATCTCTCCCCTTATCTTTAGTATAGAGTTTCTTCTCCTTGTTTGGTTGCCTATTTTTTATTATTTTTTTTTTTTTGTAGTTTTTAAAGGTGGGAACTTAAGAAGACACCACCTTTAAGGCAGAAAGCGAAGAGGAACTAAAGAGCCCCTTGATGAAAGTGAAAGAGAAGAGTGAAAAAGCTGGCTTAAAACTCAACATTCAAAAAATGAAGATCATAGTATACAGTCCCATCACTTTATGGCAAATAGATAGGGAAACAATAAAAATAGTGACAGACTTTTTTTTTCTTGGGTTCCAAAATCACTGCAAATGGTGACTGCAGTAGTGAAATTAAAAGATACTTGCTCCTTGAAAGAAAAGCTGTGACAAAACTAATATGTCTCACATATTAAAAAGCAGAGACATCACTTTGTGGACAAAGATCCATTTAGTCAAGGCTATGGTTTTTCCAGTAGTCATGCATGAATGTGAGTTGGACCATAAAGAAAGCTGAGCACTGAAGAATGATGCTTTTGAACCGTGGTGTTGGAGAAGACTCTTAAGAGTCCCTTGGACTGCCAGGAGATTAAACCAGTCCATCCTAAATGAAATCAGACCTGATTATTCATTGGAAGAATTGATGCTGAAGCCGCAGCTCCAATATTTGGCCACCTGATGAAAAGAACTGACTCATTTTAAAAGACCCTGACGCTGGGAAGATTGAAGGCAGGAGGAGATGGGGATGATAGAGGATAAGATGGTTGGCTGGCATCACAGACTCAATGGACATGAGTTTGAGTAAACTCTGGGAGTTGGTGATGGATAGGGAGGCCTGGCGTGCTGCAGTCTACGGGGTCGCAAAGAGTCTGACATGACTGAGTTACTGAGCTGAAGGTGGGAGTGTAGATTATTGATCGGAGGTCTGCCTTCTTTCTTAATTTTTAAATAGTTAATGCTATGAATTTTTTTCTATGAGCTAGTTTAATGTCATCCCCTGATTTTTTATATATTTTATTTTCACTTTTACTCAGTTCAAAGCACTGCCTTAATTTCTGTGGGATTTCTTTGACCATGAATTATGTAGATGTACAGTGTTTAATTTTCAAGAGTTTAAATTTTCTGCTATAATTTTGATACTACTTTCTAGTTTAATCTATTATGGAACAAATTTTGTATAATTGCAAACATTTTAAAGTTTCATTCTCTTTTTTAATCCAAGACATAATGATCTTGGTGAATGTTCTAGGTCCAATTGAAAAGAATATGTGTTTTTCTCTTATTAATTGGAGAGTCCTATAAATGTAAAAAAATTTTAAAAAAACATTTTATTGATGTGGTTGTTCATTTTTTCTATATCTTTGTTGACTTTTTGTCTTCTGATTTTGTTGATTAAAGAATGAAGAGGTTGAATTATGCAAAGGAGAGGTTATGTATGCAAATATAATTTTGCACTTGTACACTTCTTTCAGTTCTGTCAAATTTTGTTTCATAAAATTGGAAGCTCTACTGTGAAGACTTTTTTTTACACATTGAAAATCTATATATCTTCTTGGTGAATTGGCTCTATTTCCATTATGTAATGTCTCATTTTATCCCTGGCAATGTTCTTTGCTCTGAAGTCTATTTTGTCTGATATTCAGTTCAGTTCAGTTCAGTCGCTCAGTCATGTCCAACTCTTTGCGACCCCATTGACTGCAGCACGCCAGGCCTCCCTGTCCATGACTGTAGCCTGCCAGGGTTTCTGTCCATGGGATTCTCCAGTCAAGAATACTGGAGTGGGTTGCCATTTCCTTCTCCAGGGGATCTTCCTGATCCAGGAATTGAATCTGGGTCTCCTGCATTGCAGGCAGATTCTTTACCAACCGAGCTATGAGGGGAGCCTTAAAGTCACTCAGTCGTGTCTGACTCTTTGCGATCCCATGGACTCTACAGTCCATGAAACTGTCCAGGCCAAAATTCTGGAGTGGGTAACCTTTCCCTTCTCCAGGTGATCTTCCTGATCCAGGAATTGAACCGGGGTCTCCTGCATTGCAGGTGGATTCTTTACCAACTGAGCTATTTTACTTTGGCTAATATGTTTTTCTGTTTTAAATTTCTGTTTAGTTCTTCTTTATTTCTTTGTTGAGTCTTTCAATCTTCAATAGTGTTCACCTTAACTTATTGAAACATTTTCAAAATAGCTGTCAGATACTTCGAACATCTACTTTAGCATTTTTTGATTATCTGCTCCCCTGTGAGTTCATGACCTTGCTTCTTCGCATATTGAGGAATTTTTTGATTTCATGCTGGATATTTTGAACATTATGAGATGCTAGATCTTATTTAGATCATATGTAAATGTTGAAATATTTTCATTTGGGCATATCTAGACATAGCATCCCATGTGCCCAGGCGTTCACTCTTTCTATAAGTACTTCTCTCTGAAATCTTAGAAAGCCCCATTTCCTAGAACACCTCTTTCAGTCCTCCAGCCTGAAAGCTGAGGCTTTATTTACTCCATTCCTGTACAGTTCTTTATGGCAGCACAAATTTCTGGGACTGAGATGTGGAGGAAAGAAAGAGATTGAGAGAGAAAAGGTGGGGTGGGGGTGGAGGGCTGGGGGTTGTCTCTTCTCCCTCTTGGAAGCACAGCTTCTCCGACCAAAAGGGAAGATTCCACTTCTTCAGAATTTTAGTTGTCCACTGCAGTATTAGAGAACTGATATTTTTAACAGTGTTTATTCCATCCTTTCTGCTCATTAAGAAGTTAGTTTTCATATACCCATGGCTTATTCATGTTGCTACATGGCAGAAACTAACACAATTTTGTTAAGTGATTATTCTCCAATTAAAAACAATTTAAATAAAAATATTTTTTTTTTAAAAAAGCAGTTAGTTTTAACTACCTGAGCCAGAATTAGAGTGCTTCTTCTAGAGTTCTGTCTGTCCTCAGCAGTCCAGTCCGTACTTCCAAGATCTGAGCTGTATTTCATCCAGACTAGGAGACACTAGAGTGAAAAGAAATGGAAAACTCACTGATAGTTTGGTGATACTTTGAGTCTGGTCTTCTTCCTCAACCATTCTGCAACTATTTATTTTCTAGAGTCTGCAAAATAAAGCGTCTTCATGCAGTATGTCAGGTTTTATAACTGCATTCCATGATATAGCATGCTTATTCCATCTTACCCATATCTGAAACTCCCAAATTGTTTTTAATTTAAAAAATTTTCCTTTAATATGTTTCAGAATGTCTTTCTATGTCTAGCCTTTGTTTATTTCCCCAGCCCTTATCTTTGCCAAACTTCAGTCAAATCAAACTGCTTGCTCTTTCCTACATTATTGCTACATTGCACAAACCCAGAAACACTTAGAATAAAATTTTAATGGAATTTCCTGAAATTGTGAAATATAGAAGCTATGCAATTCCATCAGGTTTTGATACACATCCTTGCTCATCCATGTTTGTCTAGTTAACTCCTCAGACAAAGTTTCAGGTCAAGTGTCAACTTGAGATGGACTTATGTGCTCATCTTCTGGGTACACTCTCAATATTCTGGAATGACTGCTTAAGAATATTTATCTAACTAGCTGTGACTTCTTTAAAGGACTGTGTCTTTTTTAAAGTTGTGCATATCCAATATCTATAAGAAGTGGATGTTTTGCAAATGTTCAATGAATAAACGAAGAAGAAAGGGATGTAAATTTATTGAGTGCTATAAATATTTTTCTTATGTAATCTGCACAATCTTAAAAGAACATAATTGTATTAGACATGTTTTGCAAATGACTGTCCTTCACATTTCCTGCCTATAAACCTTGTTAAAGGTGAATTGACCTAACCCACAGCCTCCGCTGTCACTGACAATTGGATCTGTGTGGGCATTTGCTCAAGTTCTGCTTAATCAAAGGCGGGCTAACATCCTATGGCAGGAAAGAAAAATATGAGCTAAGCCAATCATCATAAGCTTTCAGGAATTTTGGAATTAGAAAATTGAGAAAATGTAGCCAGCTGGAGCCAAAGGGGCACAGACAGTTGGGACCAGGGTGACAGGAAGGGTTTTGTCCAACCTGATACAAATAAATTTGGTTATAAGGAAGAGATAGTATATAGAATACACATATACATTCATATAGGGGTTTCCCTGGTGGATCAGATGGTAAAGAAACTGCCTGTAATAAGGAGACTTGGGTTTGATCCCTGTGTTAGGAAGATCCCTTGGAGAAGGAAATGGCAACCCACTTCAATATTCTTGCCTGGAGAATTCCATGGACAGAGGAGCCTGGAAGGCTACAGTCCATGGAGTTACAAAAGGTCAAACATGACTGAGTGACTAACAAATACATACACACACCTTTTTCAGATTCTTTTCCAGTATAGGTTATCACAATATACTGAATATACTGCAGTTTCCTGTGCTATGCAGTAACTCCTTGTTGGTTATCTGTCTTATATATGTGCATGAGTGCATGCTAAGTAGCTTCAGTTGTGTCCGTTTAGTTCATAAACCTAGTAAATACTGCATACATATTCTGATTACTTTACTCAACAAAATTCACCATTAAAAGACTATAACCCCACCTCACCTTTATTGATATATCCTGTCTTTCCTCCTGTTACTACAGATCAACTGCTCCTCTTCACATACTCCATCCTATAGCCCATATGAAGACCTTCCACTCAGGAAATTTTTAAATATTTGTCTGAGTATATATATATGTCTATTACCCAGAACTCTCCCTGCACCTCTGACAGCTTCGTATATTCTTAAGTATCTTATGCTTTTGTTCTCACCCTCTCTCTCTTTCTCTGCTACACACACACACACACACACACACACACACACACATATTTCTCTCCTAATTTTCTCCTAACTAGCTAAAGTCACCTGCCTCCACCAAGATGTTTAAAGCAAAAACCTAGGCAGCATTTCTGATCCCTCTTTTCCACTCCCATCTGATATTTAATCTATCAGACTGTGCATGCTAAGTCACTTCAGCCATGTCCAGTTCTTTGAGACCCAGTGGGCTATAGCCCTCCATCCAAGGCATTCAGGCAAGAATACTGCAGTTGGCTGCCATTTCTTACTCCAAGGGATCTTCCCGACCCAGGGATCAAACTCATATTTCTTATGTCTCCTGTATTGGCAGGTGGGTTCTTTACTACTAGCGCCACCTGGGAAGCCCAATCAGTAAGTCCTACCAACTGTATTTACAAAACATGTCCCATATTAATCCCATCTCCCACAGCCACTAGCACCTCATAAAATCATGAGGTTCCAACAATAATTTTCCCTTAGAGTTACAGAAAAGGACTCCAAAGTGGTCTCTCTGTGTCAATCCTTACTTTTCTGCCACTGTGTTTTCCATTGAGCAGCTGGACAATGCAATCTACTTAAAACATTTCAAAGGTGTCTTAATTTTCATAGGATAAAACACAAAATCCAAAGTTCAAGTGGTGTAGGGGAACAGTGTCAGGGAAAGTGGTCCAGAGACCTGTTCCTCCAGCATCCGTATCCACCCTACCTCAAAGACCACAGCCTTGTCACAGCTTCTCAGATTCCCAAGACTCCACAGAACATACTGTGAAAATCCTGCTTTTCAAAGTGCAATTAAAATGTAGAAATTACTAAAATTTAGAATTATGGTAAAGAACGATATTATAATATTCACATCAAGATGTAAAAGTGTATTGGAATAAATCTAACAAAATGCACCTGAGATCTTTATAGATAATGTTGGTTAAATTTATGCAAATAAAAAATAAAAGAACTTAAATGGAGAAATAAAACATGATTACAGGTTAAAAGATTAGATATAATGAAGGTGTCAGCTCCCCTTTTAAATGAAGCTATTATAAATGTAGTCACATGAAAATATCAACAGAAATTTCAACAAAACTTAAAAATCAATCCTAAAATTAATAAGAAAACATATAGTCAGGATAACCAAGATGATTTTTTAAAAGAAGGAAGGGGACTTAGCAACTAGATATAAAGAGGTAGCTATCAAAATATAAGTGAAAGTCACTCAATCATGTCTAACTCTGCAACCCCATGGAATTCTCCATGCCAGAATATTGGAGTCGGTAGCTCTTTCCTTCTCTAGGGGATCTTCCCAACCCAGGAATCGAACCCAGGTCTCCTACACTGCAGGCGATTCTTTACGAGCTGTCACCAGGAAAGCCCAAGAACACTGGAGTCAGCAGCCTATCCCTTCCCCAGTGAATCTTCCTGACCCAGGAATCAAACTGGTGTCTCCTGCATTGCAGGTGGATTCTTTACCAGCTGAGCTACCTGGGAAGCTCAACAAAATATAAAGAGTGAATGGCTTAAAAGAGCAATACTTCACAGTCAAATAATAGACATGTACCTATGTTATATATGTACATGTGAGTAATTGGATATATAACAGGCAACCAATCATTGGTATTTAACAGAGCATTGAACAACGTTTGCTCACTTATCAACTGCTTCACGTATTGAATAAATGAACAGGGATGATCACAGTTCTGTTGATCGTGGCTCACCTGGCCTGCTCTTCATAGCTGGAGCTCAGGATTAGCTGTGTCGCTTTAGCATTCCTTTCTTAGAAGGAAGGCAACAAAATATCTAAATGAGGGTAGAGCAGCTGGAAATCACAGAGGGCAAAGTCTATCTAAAGAAACTGCATCTATTTAAACATGAGGGAGAGATGCTTCCAAACCCCCAAGGTAATTATTGAGTAGTTCCATGGAGAAAATTGCATGGAGGTTGATTTTGTCTCAGGGGGTAATGATAGCACTTTGTCACAACTGGAGGACACGTGGAGTTATGGAAATAGCAGATAGGGTTTAGAGTTAATCAGGTTCAACTTACCATGGTATGACCTGTGACCAGTCACTAAAGCTCTCCGGGACTTGATTCTCTTGTTATTAAATTCAAGATAGTCAGAGGCAGCAAAACATACCAGTAAGAAGTGTGGGTTCTCAATCCCACTGCCTGTTTACAAATGCACTTTGCAGCTGTATGAACTTAAAAATTGACAGTGTTAGTAGCTCAGGCGTGTCCAACACTTTGCGACCCCATGGACTGTAGCCCACCAGACTCCTCTGCCCATGGAATTTTCCAGGCAAGAATACTGGAGAGGGTTGCCAGTCCTTTCTCCAAGGGATCTTCCCACCCAAGAATTGACCCCAGCTCTCCTGCCCTGGCAGATGGATTTTTACCATCTGAGCTACCAGGGAACCACCTATAAACTTCTGTTTAACCTCCTGGGTCTCAGTTTCACTATCTACAAAATGGAGAAATAAAAGTACCTACATCATAGAGTGTCTGAAAAAAATCAAATGACAATATATTTAAAGCACTTGAAAGCATCTGGTCTGCGGTAAGCCTTGAGCATGATGCCAATAGCAGCAGTAGAATATACCTCTAAGTGTCACAATGAGGGATACATAAAATGACACATATAAAATTTGGGCACAGTGCCTAAAACATCTTAAGTGTCCTCTAAAGATCATTCCCCCTCTTTTCCTTAAGCTGTCTACAAAAGGAACAAATGCCGCTCCAGGGGTGGTGAGTTTCCCATCAGCAGAAGTGTTCAAGCAGAAGCTGGTTAACCACATCTTCAGAATGTTACAGCGAAGCATTTGAAACTAGGTAGAGACTAGAACTGGGCCGTCCCTGAGGTCCCCTTCGAATTAAAGATTCCATGATTAAATTGGAACCTTTAGGAAAGTCTGTCAAAGGGGAATTTTGGGTAACCAAAACTTTCCCGAAATTTCCAGCTCATTTTCCAGGATAAATGCAGCCCCCCATCTCCCTACACAGCACATCAAATATTAACACACATACACACACGCACACACATAAACACACGCATGTACACAGAGGCATCATTCAGATGTCGTAACATAAATCTTTTCACCACAATGACCGCGGTTGTCAGTGAAAGAAATACTCTTGTTCAGTCCAATGCACTTGGGTAGCCCAAATAAACAATAGTATAATACCCGGCATTTATGCAGCAC